GAAAACCCTCCTGATCTTACAGATTCTGCAAATAATGCGAAAGCCCTACCGTGTGCACACGAACCAGTTGGTTCAAGAGTGCAACCAGGCTGATTTCCTCCTCCATTAGGTCTGTAATCAGCAGTTCCTAGACTACCTCGATAGCCCAATCTACCAGCACAAGTGTGAATTGCTTGAACGAATTGGGCATCCGATGGGTCTAATCTATTGTCCGTTTCACTACTGTGAAAGAGAGGTCCCGCAGGATCCAATCCCACTATTACACCAATGCTACTATTTATAGCTGCCCCGGCGCATCCAGCTATATGAGCCCCAAGACTGTGACTGTTGAAAGAAAAGTTGCATTACAAGATGTAGATGATTTTAAATATGCTTATTATTTTGTTGAATTCGGAAACGTCTGGAAATGTTTGCTTACCCTACAATTGTGAATTTATCGGCGTCCAGTCGAAACTCACTTTGCATATTCGCAATGAATTGTCCCAAAAGTCTTCCAATATCGGGAACGTTTGCGAATGCAATTGTGTACAAAGTACGAGATATCGAACTCCAATCTACCACGAATATATTAGCATCAATAACATCCATATAGGCGGACCTAATGAGTTCGTTAAAATTACTAGAGTAACTGTTTCGCCAACCATGAATCAAGAAGATATTCTGCTTTGAAGAATCGTAATTGGATGATGATGAAAGTGCACTAGCGTCCAGCGCATGTATTTCAGGAGTTGAAGCATTGTTTTGGGTGTATAGATAAAGTGTAATGTCGGATGTAGAGGCAAATGCTTCAATAGTAGGAACTGATGGATCGATTACTTCAACCACTCCATTTTCATCGTATACTCTTAACATGCGATCAGAGGATACACTTGGACTTACTGAAATTATTTAGAAGCAGATTTACATATTAGAACGTATTATAGTTTATATAAAGCAAAATTGTACAAATAATTACATACATATGCATACGTATATATATATATTAGGGTGCTTCAAACAAAAACGGTTTTTTGGAAATAAATTCGTAAATTATGTGTAAATTCAGTTTAAAACAAAAAAGAATTTTTCCTATGTTAATTAAATGGGAAACTAAAATAAAAATAGCGACCCCTTAGATTTGAGCTATACGGCTCATGTTTGGCGAGGATTTTTTTTTACATCAAAT